TTTTTTTTTCAAACAAAAAAAAAAAAAAAAAAAAAAAAAAGAAAAACAGAAACGAAAAAAAAAGGGAAAAAATTACTGTTTGCAGATAGTGCGAGTTTTTTGAAGAAGTGCTTCTGCGTCGTTTCTGGCCACTTCTGCTTCTTTATACTATCCGAATTGATGAAGCCAAATGATACTGTTGCTCATCATAAGGTTGATTTTTTTTTCTTTGATGCAAAAACTGATCAGATCGATGATGTTAATGGGTTTAATATTCAATGCAGTATAGATTTATTTGGTTTTGCTGGATCGTCGGTACAGTTGATAGATACTGCTGCTGATTTATTTGACCGTATTCTTCGGATTTTGATTTTCAGTTGTCGGTTGCCAACCACTCAGTCCACTTAATACTATTTGTATATGCAAGTCTTTCTCCCTTTTTTCTTGTTTTACTTTTATTTTACGGTACAGCAGTAATTTGAAAATTCAAAAAGCAAATAAAATTTTAAGAGGCTTAAATATAATTATTCTACTTTTCTAATTTTGCAACTTTAATTTTTGCTCATCGATGTAAATTTACATTGTTTCTTTTGATGTTTAACTGTTTAGCAGACATCTAACGTTTACTGTTACTGAAAAGTTAAGAGTTATAGTTTAAAATTAATATTGAATATGCTGTAATTACTATTATTTTTTATCAAAATTACTGCTGTAAAATATATATGCGATTAGGCTGTGCAATTTTTGTGAAGAATGGTTACAGTATTCAATATTTTCAGTTTAAGAATGCAAGAAAATATGCTTTATTTTTTGCTTCTTTTGCTTCACTTAAAATTTGCGAGTGTTTTGAAGTTTCTGAGTTTAATACATATCGTGTTATAACTTTTTCCAGTTATTTTATTATTGTTATTATCGTTATTATTATCATCTTTCTTATTATTATTGTTTTCATTATTATTACTGTTAGTAATAGTAGTAGTATCGTTATTATTACTATCAGTGTGATTTTAGAGCTATCTTAGTTTGTCGTTTGTTCAGAGACCAAGATTGACTTTTTTGACTAAATGTGCCATTATTTGAAACTTATTTATTAAATTATTTAGACAGATTGACATTTAGATTAGTCTTCTTCTGAATTACGGATGACGAAAAAAAGAGCAGTTGGAGACAGTTGGTTCTTTTTCCACGCTCTTTATCCTCTTATATTTTTCTTCTTCCAACTTGAGTTCTCCTTTTTTATTCATTCTTGAGATGACAAGTTTAGTTTTAACGTTGAGTAAAAGAAAACGAATTATCTCTTCAAAGAAAACAGCATAAATGATACAGTGAATATATAACAGGTGAAAAAATAAACAATTTGGCATAACCTTTTCAATAGTCAAAACTTTATAATTTACCGAATATTTTAAGTTGTTAATTTATTCCAATTTTTTTTTTGTTTCAGATGACAATAGTATTACAAATACAGCTGTTATTGCACACAGTTTTTTTTAAAAATTCTGCATTGTTTATCTTTTTTAACAATACATTTTACAAAATTGTTGTCTTTTGAAGCTATTTAGATTTTCCGATAGTACTTTGTGCTGTCTTATATCAAATTTGTCTTCAAACATTTAAGATACCAAAAAGTATTTATCTGTGCTTTGTTAATATTTGTAGAGTACTGACGAAAAATTTATGCTATTTTGATAACCAGAAAAAAATTGTTAAAACTATTTAAATTGACTTTGGAAAAAAAAGAGGTAAAAGTAATATTATTTCTGACTTTATGTTACTTTTGACACATTCGTGTTGTAAATATGACCACTGTTTGTTACAATAAATATACATCGTTTCAAAGTAAACATATTAATTTTTTTTGATTTAAGTAATTTTGATATGTTTAATTTATCGCTACTGTATACAGCAATTTGAAAATAGATAGCAGTTTGAAAGCAGCA